TAAGAAAAGCGGTCGTCGATTAAATCAGTAGTATGGTAAACCAAACTCTGCCATATTGTAATTATTAAGCACTTCCAAAAATGCAATATTATCTCTTCTACTAACTTTAGATACGTATTTCTACACTCCGAGCATTGCAAGTAATGCTCCATTGCCCCAGCGTCATTATCTTGTTGGATATAATAAAGCTGGCCTTTAAAGTAGAGAGGTCTCAGTTTTTGAATTAAGCCCTAGATAAATCTTTTTTAATGCCTCGGTTTAATCATAACTCGATAGGTGATTAAAGTTTGTTAATCCGACAAGTATGAGTAGCTTAAAAGAGCGCCTAGTTAATTAATTAGACTACGGTTTCAAATTGCTTCTTATTTCGAAACAAATCCCGGCTTAAGTCCAATTAATTCAAATAATTGTGGCCTAAAAGCCCTTATCAATCACGTTTTCGACAATAAATTGTGATTAAGCTCTGAACCGCCCGATTATATTGATAATCGGGGGCATTTAAGAGCCTAAGATCCGGCATGTATGCATTTTGGAAACTAATTGCCTAAAACAAGCACCTTTTGGCCAAAGGCCCACTAAAATCGAACCATTGTTTAGCAACAAATCGCTTAAAATCAATCTTGCTTAAATCAACACTTTTTGGCCAAAGGTCTTAAAATCAATCATTTTGGCGACAATCGCCCAATCACATCATTTTGGCAAACGAATTGCTTAAATCAACACTTTTTCGGCTTGAAGCCTTAAAATCAATCAATTTCGGCTCAGAGCCTTAAAATCAACGATTTTGGCAACAAATCGTTCGACAAAAAATCATTTTCGACAATAATAAGCCCGAACACCAATTTTGGCAAGAGTAAGCCCAAATCAACTCTTTTGGCTAAAAGCCTCAAAATGAATCTTTTGGCGATAAACGCCTAATCGAATCAATCGATCTTTTGGCAAAATGCCTAAACAAAAATGCACAAAGCATAAACAAAATCATGCACGAAGCATACACAAAATCATGCACAATGCACAAAGCGAATCACACAAAATGCACAAAGCAATACACAAAAATCAATGCAACTAAGCATACAACACACCCGATGCATTAACATATCATGTCAAAGCCCCATTCAAAGCCCTCTAAAAGAGGCCTATCGAACTACGTTGACTTTGATTTTCCATTCAAACGGAAGTACGTAGGCACGTCCGGGATTTCACCCCGGGCGGCAAGTCGAAATCACCAAAATCACTCAAACATTTCATTAATCCCTCATTTACCTTGCAAAACATTCATTCATCGGTTAGTTTATCAGCATGACATAGTCTCGGGATCCATCTCGGGTTTGCATACCATGCTTTACACATTGGGATAATTAATCTAGTAACTAGGTTAATTAAAATTGAAGTCATTCAGGGTTTTTTCCTAGTTTACCCTAAAATAATTAAACAAAAAAATAATTAAACAAGGTGGCGACTCACACACATCAACGTGCTATTTCTTGCTCAGTTCAATCAATATTGCATCACATGCCTATGGACATTTTAAACAAGGTGGCGACTCACACACATCACGTGTATTTCTTCTCATTCATCATATGCATCACATGCCTATGACATTTTGGGGAAGGGGTTCACATTAATGAGATCTCATGTTGTTAATTGGGGCTATTTTGGAAAAGATAGATTTCCTTTTAAAGAATAGTTTGACGCTCAGGGTTGGATGGATTTTCTGTCATTAGATAAACCCTGCTATGAAGATTTAGTTAGAGAATTTTATGGTTCTATAAGCGGTGGCAAGATTGAGTTCTGTCAATGAAAATGGAAGGGGAGGTTAGATTAATTTCTCTAAAGAATCTGAGTAAAATTTATAAGATTCCACATGAAGGAGCTAGAGCAACAAAAATTAGAGAGCACACCAAGTTTGTAGGTTATGATTGGGATGAGTTTGTTAGAAAAATTTCTAAGAGGCTTTCTGCTAACAAATAGAAAGCAGTGGTTGACTGTTCTGATTTGCATGAGAACATGAAGTGGCTATACAAAATTGTAGTTCATTATTTGTAGCCTAAGAGTGGGTCACTTACATATGTCAACCAAGTAGAGAGGTGGTTAATGTGTCATCTTATGGAAATGAAGCCTTACAATCTCTGTTATGCTTTGTTTGATAAGAAGCAAAATGTAACAAAGTAGAAGTTGCCCTATGGAATGATTTTGACTCCTATTTTGAGTTTCTTGGTGTGAAATTAGAAGGCAAACGTTACAATGTTTCTAAATTGGATAATAGCTCTCTAAAAAACAAAGAGGAAATAGGATAAGAAGAAGAGGCAGAAATAAAAAAAGAAGAGGAGAAATTACAAGAAGTAGTTGTAGAAAAAGAAAAGGAAAAGGAGAAAGTAGAAAAGGAGCAAATAGAAAAAGAAAAAGGAAAGAAGAAGGCAGAGGAGGAGAGATTAGAAAAAGAAGGATTAGAAAAAGAAAAAGAAAAAGACAAGGAAGAAGAAAAGCTAGAAGAAGCAGAGTTAGAAAAAGAGAAAATAGAAGAAAAAAAGAAGAAGATCAAGGAGAAGAAAACGAAAAAGAGAAAGGAAAAGATGCAGCAGCAGAAGAAGGAAAGTGACGATAGAGGGACTTTGGAGATTTTGGTGGAGTAGAAGCAGAGGAGCCAACAGAAGAAAAAAGAGGAGATGAAACTCCAAAAGTACATGAGCTTGAAATTGAAAAATTAGAATTTAGTGATGAAGAAGAACTAGAGAAAGATAAGGAGTAAGAACCTGAAAGCAAAAAGTCTATGTTGTGGCTGTAAAGCCGGCAAGTATATGATCGGTGAAACAGAACCTTTTAGGAATATATTTAGAATATAGTCCTACTCAAGGTAATAAGCATTGGTGCTAACAATGGTCTTCTTATCCTTAGGACTATAAAATAAACCACCTTTCATTCGTATAGAATATCTAATAAAGAAGCATAATTCTATTTTTGATTCTATCTAATAAACCTCCTTTCAGCACGTAAGCTGGGCAACCCCACATCTAAACATGTCTTAGGCTAGGCTTGCTTTGTAGGAGTTAAAGGTACCAACTTAAAAGGAACTAAATTCAAAATGTATGATGTTTTCTCAATTGCATGTCCCCAGAAAGAAAGTAGCAAATCCGAATAACTCATCATTGATCTAACCATCTCCATAAGTGTCCTATTTCTCCTTTATGCTACACCATTCTATTGTGGCATACTAGGTGCAGACAAATGTGAAGTAATTCCTTATTCTGACAAATAAGCAATGCATTTTCTAAAGAGGTATTTGCCACCACAATCAGATCCTAGTGACTTGATATATTTACCATGTCGCTTTTCCATTTCTGCCTTAAATTCTTTGAATTTTTCAAAGCATTCAGACTTACAGGATAACAAGTAAATATACCCATACCTTGAGTAGTCATCTGCAAAAGTCACAAAACACTCAAACCACCCTAGCTTGGACACTCATTGGGCCACATTTGAATTTTTCAAAGCATTCAGACTTACAGGATAACAAGTAAATATACCCATACCTTGAGTAGTCATCTGCAAAAGTCACAAAACACTCAAACCACCCTAGCTTGGACACTCATTGGGCCACACAAATCAAAATGAATTAGTTCTAAAACTTCATTGGCCCTATTATCCTTTAATGGAAGATGCCTCTTAGTTATTTTACCTTTTAGACAGGATTCACAGGTGTGATTAATATGCCTCCACTTCTAATGAACTCAAATGTCCATCTTTGACCAACTTAAAAATTTTATCTAAATTAATATGACTAAAACTTAAATGCCAAAGATAAGTTTGATTTAATTCAATAAGACGTTTTCTCTTAAATGGCACAATATCTAAGCTATTAACTTCAGAATTAAGTTGCAGTTTAGGTGAAACTTTAAGAATAAATAAATCATCCATCAATGTGCTAGAACAAATGATTTTTTTTCTAAATTTAATAACAACATAATCATCATAAAATTCATTAACAAATCGAATAACTGTTCTTACTTAAATTAGGAACATAAATTAAATTCCTTCTAATTGAAGGCACATATAAAACATCCATCAAAACCAATGTTTCTATTATTCTTAAAATTTAAGGTAACATTCCTTGCAGCTAAAACTGCAACTTCCGTGTTATCTCCTAGAAAGATGCTGACTTCTCCTTCACTTAGTTGGTGCTTAACTTGAAACCTCTACAAAGAATTGCAGACATGATTAGTGGCTCCTAAGTCTACACACCATTGAAGTGTAGTCAACACCGTTAAACAAGTTCCAATGACCATTAAATGGAAAAGAGATGTACCTTGCTTCTTATTCTACATGGCAATCCAAGTTGGACATTGTTGCTTCCAGTGGAAAAACTTGCCCTTAGGCTTTTTCACAGCACCACTAGCTCCAGTAACTATTTTGGGCTTGAAAGCCTTTTCTTCTTCCTGCCTTGTTTTTGGGCAGAAGAAGTACCTCGCTCAGCATTAAGCACAATAGGTGCAGCATTTTGCTTAATAATTGATTAAGCAGTCTACAGCTTGTTTAGCAACTTAGATAGAGTAAAATCCATCTTGCTTGAAAGCCTTTTTCTTCTTCCTGCCCTTTGTGTTTTTGGGACAGAAAGAAGTACCTATCGCTCAAGCACTAAGCACAATAGGTGCATGGCATTTTGCTAATAATCTACACACCATTGAAGTGTAGTCAACACCGTTAAACAAGTTCCAATGACCATTAAATGGAAAAGAGATGTACCTTGCTTCTTATTCTACATGGCAATCCAAGTTGGACATTGTTGCTTCCAGTGGAAAAACTTGCCCTTAGGCTTTTTCACAGCACCACTAGCTCCAGTAACTATTTTGGGCTTGAAAGCCTTTTCTTCTTCCTGCCTTGTTTTTGGGCAGAAGAAGTACCTCGCTCAGCATTAAGCACAATAGGTGCAGCATTTTGCTTAATAATTGATTAAGCAGTCTACAGCTTGTTTAGCAACTTAGATAGAGTAAAATCCATCTTATTCATATTATATGGTTCAGACGAAACTGTTGAAAACTGGCTAGCAGCGTGTGCAAAACCATCTCAACTTGAGATTCCTTGTTAGCCTCAACACCAAGGACCTCTATGTCATTCAGAAGACTCATCATCCTCAAGACATGGTCCCTCACAAGAGTTCCTTCCTCCATTTTTGAAGTAAGAAGCTCCCTAAGTGCATTTTTCTTGGCAACCCTAGTTTGGTCTCTAAACATCTCTTTGAGATTCTACAAAATGTCATAAACAATGTCCATTGACAGATGCTAATGTTGCAAAACATTTTACATGGATGCCAAAATCTAATATCGCGTCATCTCAACAGCCTTAACCTATTTTTGGTAAGCATTGGTGTCCTGTTCAGAGGCACCATCACCAGGTTTCTCAGGACACAGCTCAGTGAGTAAAAACTTGTACTCTTCAGCAGTAAACACAATAGCCAAATTTCTTTTCCAGTCCATATAGTTCGAATCCTCAAGCTTGTTTTGGGTAAGGAGGTTCGTAAAGGGATTGAAGGATGCCATTTCTTTAGAAGATGATGCATTAAAAAAATAGCATATCAATAACAATAATTAATTGAATTTAGATCACAATTGCATAAAACAAGAATGACATTAAAATTCACTTATGCATTTCTAACAGCATACATGAACAACATTCTCGATGTGAGAAATAAACTAACATAGTGTCGTGCATAAATTCTGAAACTAGAGAAACACTACTCGATGGGAGAAACATGTTTTAAAACAATTATAAGTGAGAAACATTTACAACTAGTCCATGCCCCTAATTAATTTACTTAGATGGAGAGTTAAAAAATAATATAAACAACACCAACATCAGATTCAGTGATCACATAAAACATATCATCTCCGATAGGGAAGGATATGCAAGTAGTCACAACTAACAAGTAATGGAAACACCTAAAATTTTTTTTTTATTTTTTAAAATTTGAATCATTGGAATCTAATTAACATAAAAACAACTAATCTCCAAAAGAATTTGTCACTAGAAACATTTTTAAAAAATAAAAAAATTTGAAAAAATTAGTTAAAAATAGAAAAATGGCCAAAAACCCATCTAAACAACCTTGGATGGCCGAAAAACGACAAACATCACAACATAAGCAGTGAATGTTGCTCAAAAGGCCGTTTCTGATTTCTCCACCAAATTTCAGATCAATCAGAGAAAGTTTACCTTATGTGGAAAAAAATCTATCGATTTTGAAATTTGAGTCTAGGAAACTTCTAAAGCCACATTCAATTAAAACATTTTTTTTATGTAAAAAAAATGAATTGTACACTTAATACAGAAGCAAAACTAAATCTAGAGAGAAAAAAAAAACTCTCATAACGAATCTATTCTGCTTCTAAAAGATAATTGTAAAAAATATATTTTGCTTAAAATCGCTATTGCCTTTAGTAAAAAAAAATGAAAAAAAAAAATAGAGAACCACTAAAGACTAAAACGATTTCAATAGAAGAAAAAAATGAAATCTTTTTTTACAGAAAACATTTTAACAAAAACGAAAGGAAACAAAATCATTTTTGTTTATTGTAAAATGATTTGAACAAAAAAAAAAAATCTAACCAAAATGAAATATGGTTTGGAAAAACGATTTGAACAGAAATTCATACAAAATTATTTTTCACAGGAAACGAAAAGAAATGAAAAAATACGAATGGAAACGAAAACTTTATTTCATCCTATCTTGAAAGACGATTTCATGACCTAACTACAAAAAAATTTTTCAAAACTTCATACACATAAATATACATTTTCATGGCAACATCCAGCAGAACAAATCACATATATATTTAAACATGTTCTCAGAAAATACATATATATGCAAAGAAAACAACATCATGTACAACATGTACATGAAAAACGAATTTAAGGTAAAACAGGGCACCTTCATATGAGTTTCATAGGCTCTGATACCATAAAGGGAGCAGGAGTTTATATACAGTGGAAGTAAACTAGGAACAAAACAAGCATGAAGGTAAACCATAAACACAATAATACCAATAAACTGACCTCTTGAAGCGCAGAATCGCTCACTGGTCTTCTTTCCAGTTAATGTTCAAGTCACCCTACAATCTTATATTGTGTGACCTTAGACTGTATTAGGAACCAAAGCTTTCCATGTTGCAGAAGGCTAAAACATGGGGTACCGAGGTTTTTGTGAATACGTTTTTTTTTTTTTTTTTAACCCTACAATCCTATATATTGTGTGACCTCCTTAGACTGTATTAGGAAAACCCAAAGCTTGTCCCATGTTGCAGAAGGCTGTTAAAAAACAAGTAATGGGGGGATACCCAGAGGTTTTTGGTGGAAAATTTACGTTTTTTGTTCTTTTTTGTTTAAAATTCCCCTCTTCCGATAGAAAGATTATATTTAAACCTCGTAATTACCAACGCTCTTGTCGCGGCATGGGAATGCGAACAATAAAACCTTAATCGCTCTGTTTTACCCTACGCCATTTACGAATTTTAAAATTATTAACAAACGTTTTTTTTTTTTTTTTTAATCCCCTCTTCGATAGAAAGATTATAATTTAAACTCGTATTCACCTCTTGTCCGCATGGGAAGCGAACAATAAAACTTATCGCTCTGTTACCTACGCCATTTAGAATTTAAAAATTATTAACAAATTATTTTTCTTAATTAAAATAATAATAAATCTAATTTTAATTAAAATAATCCATTAATAAATTAAAAGCCCACCCAAGGTCCAAACAATTAAGGCACAACAGGACCGCATAAATAAATTAAATAAGGCTACAAATTATAATAAGGATTTATATAGGTCCAGTATATTTTTATTATAATTAATCATTGTTCCACTAAAAATATATGATTGAACTCCTTATTAATTTTAACTTTCCACAACTTAATAATTTATATCCCATGTTAAGATTACATATGCCTGTCAAATAAAATAAATTACTGAAAAATTTATTTAAATGATAATTTTAATCTTTAAAATTATCGCTTAACTTATTTCATGTGTCGGATACAAAATCCACCAGCAGGATTTACACAATAAAACCTTATAAGCTTAATTAAAGGGCATCATCATTCTCTATACCAAGGCATGAATTTTATCATTAATTAATATTTAACTAATGCATATTGCCTTTGCCGAATTCATCGAGTTATATTGTCCTGATAAATGAAACTCTCTCTTTATAAATCAAAGCATAAGACAATGTACATTTGCTCATAATAATTAAATCAAGATTAAGAATATAAATCTTATTTCTAATGTCCTAGAGAATATGTTTTTAATAGTCAATATAAAACAATCATTCTCTACTTGGTATAGTTTAATACATATGAAATGTACTAACACAATTAGCATTAAATATGCTGAAAAAATTATTCATTTAATGTAGATCTCCAAAGACATACAATTAAATAATTGTTCAAATAAAAACATCCAAATCTTATATTATCACATTTGCATGGTTAATAGCATATATCTATCATTTATCACATTGAATTTCAAATTTTACAATCCAATTAATTCTAGATAAAAGATAGGTTTTAGCTAGATTTATAATTCAGATAGTTGGGAATATTTATTATATCTATTAGTGAAAGTGAATTTAAGAAGAAAAAAAGCTTAATGGTCTAATAACAAAACATAAAAATAAATAAAAATTTCAATTTTTTTTTTAAAAAAAAGGATAAAAGAGAATGCTAAATGTATAAAAGGAAAAATAATTATTTCATCCTAAGATTTTACAAAATTAATTAACTCATCATCGCATTTTTTAATATGAGGTATTTAGTCTCCGAGATTCGGTTTCGTCTCATTAAAAAGTCATTCCGTTCGAAACGAGAGGTTTTTTATGTGAAATATTATTAAAAAGCAAGAGAGATGAGAGAGAAATATTTTAAAAAGAAAAATATACCCTTAATAGGATGAGACAAAAAGATATTTCCATGAAAAGACGAAATTATCCCTTATGAAATTTAATTTTTATTCTTTCCCTTTTATTTGATATTTCTTTGTCATCTCCAATGTCACGCCTACTCTAATAATCCCCCAACATATATGGGACTCTGCATATCCCCAATAGATCTAGAACTCTGCATTAAGATGGATTAAGAAGCTGACAGTCTCTCATAGGTCTCTACAGCCTTGATCGCCATCATCAAAAGATCAGATTTGGACCACCACCATACTCCAGTCAAGAGCGCGCTCACCACCATCACTCCTGGAGAGTCTTACCATTCTAGCTAAAGACTGAGGTGGTTTGCGAACCAAAACAACGGCGGCGATAGCATGGTCCTGAGTGCTGAAGATGTTGCGAGAGCATTAAGGGACATCATCACCTAAGGCAGTAAGAGTGTCAATACTATAATTAAAAGAATTGGGCCTTGTGGCTTTAATGGTATCTTCTAGCTCAATCTAGATCAACTGATGAGCTAATTCATGGTAATCATAGTCAAGAAGAAGAAATCAATTGAGAAAATCAAATCATTTTCTTAAGAGAGAATCAAAAATACAAAATACAAAGAGAGTTTCTCATTGAGGTCTCTATGACTCTTAACCTAAGAAAAGTAACCGTCATTGCCAACTGGCAAATTATTGAAAATAAATTAGAGCCACGAGATCAAAACTGAATACATATCAATGTACTTTCACCCCCCCCCACCCCCTTCAAGATGGAGTTGGTGAGAAATCAACCAACCCAATCTTGGAAAGGAGACGAGAGAAGTAACTTCAACCACCCAATCTTGGAAAGGAGACGAGAGAACAGAGAAGAACTCAAATTCTTTGTAAACAGAAATCAACCAACCCAATCTTGGAAAGGAGACGAGAGAACAGAGAAGAACTCAAATTCTTTGTAAACAGAAATCAACCAACCCAATCTTGGAAAGGAGATGAGAGAATAGAGAAGAACTCAAATTCTTTGTAAACACATATGTTAATTGGTGTTTTGACGGCACATGAGCAGTGGTAATGAACCCATTTTAAAGCTGATTAAGAACCACATGACAATCAATGTCAATATGTTTCGTTCTTTCATAGAACATGGGATTTGCTGCTATGTGTAAAGCAGCCTGGTTGTCACAAAATAATGGAATGGGAAGATACAAAGGTAATTGGAGATCTTGAAGCACATAAGAAATCCACTTCAACTCACACACAGTAACAGCCATGGCTCGATACTCAGCCTCTGCAGTAGATCTACTACGATACTCAGCTCTGCAGTAGATCTAACTAACAGTGTTTTGTTGCTGACCACGTCTCTTCCGAGTCGAGTTCTTAGAGTTCGAGTAGTCGTAGTTGAAAGTCGAGTTTGAACCAACCGACACCGGTAATTTGGTAGAAAGGGGTTTAGTAAGGTGGAACTTACTTGAGTAAGAGAAAAGATTCAAGGTAAATAGAATGAGATTAATAAAGTTGAGGTAATTGGAGAATGTAGACAATGTAAAGAAAAAAAAATAAAACCCCCCGTGGTTTAAAGGGGTTTCCCCACTTTGCTTTGTTATTTGGACCATACCCATT